GGAAGTTTTAGGAGAATGTTAAAAACTGAGATAAATTAAATGGAAATAAGAAATAATATAGTAATACAAATGAAAAAAAAATAACGAAAATTAAAAAGTTTTAAAAATAAAATAAACCTGAAAAAAATCAGGGCCCGCAAATAATAGTTATTTTTGAAATTTCAAATTCAAAAAATCACACTGAAAGAGAAATGCTACGTGCATAAGGAGTAAAGCCAAGAATGACAGAATACAAGATTANGGTTGCATTTGTGTGCATATATGTGTGTGTGTGTGTTTGAGTTTTTGTTTGTGCATGTTGATGTCCTTTTTCGTTTGTGTTTTGTTTGCGAGAGACAGAGCGGCGTCGTCGCTGTTTTCGTCGAGGCTCAGAGTCGCCAGCCATTGTTGTTGCTAGCTGAGAGTTGTTGATGTTCTTTTTTTATTTAAATAGGCGCGTTTGAGAGGACGAAGGAACTAAAAAACGAGGGAAGTTTTAGGAGAATGTCAAAAACTGAGATAAATTAAATGGAAATGAGAAATAATATAGTAATACAAATGAAAAAAAATAACGAAAATTAAAAAGTTTTAAAAATAAAATAAACCTGAAAAAAATCAGGGCCCGCAAATAATGGTTATTTTTGAAATTTCAAATTCAAAAAATCACACTGAAAGAGAAATGCTACGTGCATAAGGAGTAAAGCCAAGAATGACAGAATACAAGATTACGCCGATCAGAGAGGATTTTTGAGAATAACTTTTGTGTGACGTCACACTGGTGCAATTGCGAGAGAGAAATGCCAAAACGTGAGCAAGAATGGAAGAAGAAGAAAAAGTGTTGGAAGGAAAACGTAAACAAGTTGCACAAGTGTGACGTCATGCAAACAACGAGTCTGTCAAAGAGGAATAGCGGTCCGAGATCGGCGCAACCTTTGTATTCTGTCAATCGTGGAGTAAACCAACATACTTCTTTTTCATGATTCAATAATAGGTTTGTTCCACAAGCTATCCGAAATTAATTCGAGTTACACATACGCGTTCCACAAGTAAGTTTTATAGTTTATTTGATATACGCTGACAGTTTGAACTTTGCTCGAGTTTTTCTACAAGTAGCTTATGGAGCAAACCTAATATGAAATGTAATTTGTGGCAGCTTAAATTTGACACTCCTTTATCTAGATTTGTATTCTGGTCTTGTGGGAGAAAGGGGAAGAATGTGATTGCCTTTTGCGAAAACGGTAGTGGAAAGGTACAAAAAAAAGTACGCAAAGTATACAACAACATAGAAGTAAAATTAGTATTATTAATTCTAAAAATACTAAACAATACTTAAAAATATGCATTTTTAATTTAAGTTACTCGTAATTTCCTATAACTAGAATACCAACCGTTCAGCTATGCAAAAACGAAAATGCAGATCAATAAAACTTTTCACGCTCATTTAAACCATGACAAAATTATTTGGTGGCAATTAAATATAAAGACGTTTTTGAAATTAAAGTTTATTTTTTTAAATATTAAATGTTATGCACTTCATAAGCAATTAAAAACTAATGACGTCACCATAAACATAATTAATCTTTCAACTGATATACATTACTTTTTTACATTTTTAAACCAAAACCACTAAAAAACGAACAAATGTTATTTCTTCATGAAATATTTTTTTTTTAGCTCCTTTATTATTAGTAAAGAAATTTATATTATTTGGAAACTAAAAGTTTATATATTTAATTCGTTGTACATATTTTATTATGATCTACTTTAGAGTTTCAAGAAATTAGTGATAATAAAAATATAAATAAACAAGGCAAATAAACCTCTTTTATCTTTATTTTTTATAAATATATATAAAAAATATCGATAAATATATAAATATATTGATAACAATATCGAATATGTATCGATTTAAAAATCGGTAAATTTATTGACATCAAGATCGACAAATACAACCAAAATTATGTAATAGTCCCGAAAATCAAGCAAACAGTCCCAAGTCCCACCAAGTCCCGGTTTGGTGAGTTTACGTAAGGTGTGGTGAGAACGAGTGTCATGAGTTCCATGACCCAAAAATACAAGATCACGCCTTCTTCTTAGTAGCCAGTTATAATCGCATTTAGGAAAAATTTGGGCGACTTTGACATTAGCCGTTTGTTTACATTTGTTCGTTGTTTACAATTTGGTGGTGGCTTTTTACTGCAATTTTCTTAATTTCCGCTTGTGACAACGTGTGTACACGTAAGATAAGGAATAATTTAACACTACATGATTTATAGAAGAATTTACATAGTAAAAATGATTATTCATGCGTTCAACAGTTACGCGGTTTTTGCATTGTCTTCGTTGTTTACTTCTTACAACAAAGATGGCGTCGAGATTCCAACAGCTAGAAAATAACTTTTTTCTTTCTTTCGGGAAGGCGTGATCTTGTGTCTTTCGTTCATGTCATGAGTTCAGTTGTGGTGAGCTAAGTTTTGGTAAATTTAGATGAGGTTAGATCAGGTGTGCTGAGTTTAAGTGAGGTGTGTGTGGTAAGTAGATTGCGGTGAGGACAACGGAGTTGTGGTAAGGTGAGTTGAGAGAATTAATTTTTGTTATTTTTTCAATTTCTTCTAAATCATAAAGTATTTAGTTAAAAGAGCAGTGAAAGTACTTTGTATCTCCAAAGTACCTGAGTATTTGGCGCCTGATAAATACTTTCATTGTTTGTACCATAATATCTAGCAGCTCCTAAATATCCAAGTTTTTTACTTTAATATCTAAAAGCTCCTAAATACCTAAGTCATTTTACTTGAGTATTTCGCAAGCTCACGAATGCTTAAGTCCATTCCTACTTGAATATTTAGACATCTCTAAATACTAAGTATTTCAGTATCTAGTATACAAACAGTGCTTTAAATACAAAAGCATTTAGGTATGTCCAACACTGTTTGTATCCATCTTCATGTTCGTTTTCGTCTTCGGCTTCTCCATCACAATCGTATTCGTCTTTGTCTAAGGTTTAGTGGTAATTTTAGTTATTATTCCTTAACCAGAAGCTACTTTTGCTTTCTAAGCAAAAAATAAAACTCAAACAAGTAGATTTTAAGCAAAAAAACAAAACCGACTTCAATCCTCATATACAAATTTTAGATTATCGTTAATTTC